AAAGGATTCTATGATTCTATAATAAATGTACTACAGACCTGCTGCTGATGCTTGGGAGGACTCTCATGTAAGAGCAAGGGGAGGAGGGTACATGAGTACTGAAAATCCAGCAGTGAGGGACAGGACATGTTCCTCCTGAGTTCTCTGTGACTGAAGCCCTCTGCGTTCTGTTGGCCAGTAGGGCTTGGGGGGAATGCAGGTTTTTTTCATAAATTGCTTTTCTTGGAATTGTTGGTTTACTGCTTTTTCATTTTAAACATTCCTCTTTCTTTTTCTCCAGAAATTTTTGCAGCTAAATTTACTTGCTTAGTTGTCTGGGAAATTTATCTTCATTTATTTTTCTGCTTTTTATCCAAAACTTTGATATTCAATTTGAAGTTCATGCTGCTAATGTCACTATGGTTTAACAACACCCATTAGTGGGGCCATCAGCCAGAACTGGAATGAGAGTTTAAAATGACTCCTCTGCCACGCTGATGTCAGATTTCTTTATTTTTAAACAAAACTGGAATCTGTTTCTTGCTGGTGGAACCTGGTGTTTCAGCTGAAACCATAATACAAAGCTTTAAAGTATGAGAGTTCATGCTAATGGAAGGTGAAGATGCCGGATTGTCTGTGGGTGGCTTTTGGTTTTTTTTTAGGGAATATTTGCAGAAAGCCAAGCTAAAATTTGCAGAATGTTATAGGAATGCAATCAGACAGAACCACTTTGGTGCATCACTTTGTTCTGGTTTTTGTTAAATGCTTTTCCTGTCACACGAGGGGGATATGTTCATGTGTGTGGATCTTTAAGAGGAATGTGTGCTCCTGGGCAGAGCTGTTGCCTTTGTCTTGTTAGGCGAGCAGCAGCCATGGGTTTGGTGCTGGGGGGTATGTTTGAGTACAACAGTGGTATTGTACTGAATGCTGTAACATCACCTGGGCAAGGTTGACTCTGTCTGTAGAGTTTTCTTTCAAACCCATCGATGTGACTCCTCCAGTAACCCACAGGAAGTCAGACCAGTCCCCAGCAGGAGCTCTGTCACTGTGAGCTGCAGTGCTGCAGGCAGGTCACTGACCTGTGCTGTTATGGGGTTTTGGCAGCTAACATTTGGAGAGATCTGGAGTTCATTTTGAGGTCTCATTCTTTTGTGTTTCTTGAAACAAAATCTGTCTCCTGATGGAAACAATAATTGAGCCATTCATCTTTCTGAATTTTTTTTTTTGTTATGATTTGTAAAAACTTAAGACTCTGTAGGTTTCCTTTATATCTTTGGGTGAAGTTTTGCTGTAGGGAAGGGCCACTCTTCAGGTCAAGAAAGAAGTTTTGAATATGAACCTTTACTTGAAAATAATCTTGCTTAGAGCTTGATATATTCCCATTTTATTTTTGTTTAAACTTGATTCTAGTAGTAGGTGACTGAAACAAACAAGGAAGCAGTCTGCCAGGGACACACAGGCAGGGAACACCAGCCCTGGTGAGCTCCCCTCACTCGGGACAAAGGGAGTTCTGCCACTAACCCAAGCACTTGGTCACAAAACCAAACGCCCTTGTTGTGGGGCTGTTGCAGTGCTGCTGCTTGAGCAGTGGCTGCAGGAGGCAGCTCTGGCTCTGCAGGGTTCTGCAGGTCTTGACTCAAGGGGCTGTCGTGCTCCTTTGAGCCTTGGTGGCCTTGCTGCATGCCAGGCAGTGCTCTGATAGGGGCTGCTGCTGTTTCCCCTCCCCCCCTTGCCTACCAGAACACCCCCAGGGTGCTGTTTGCAACAGGTTTCTACCTCCAACACTGGAGATGAGAATTCTTCAGTGCAAATGTCCTTGCAGGAAACATGTCACTTGAATTCAATGTGAAGAGAAGGGTTGCTTCAGTTAGCAATGCTGCTGATGTGGGAGTTGTAGAGGTCCTACTCTGTTCTTCCTACTTGCCTGGAGGTGTTACACAGGGCCCACAGCAGGAAAAAACCCTTGTATCTTCTCCTAAAAAATGCCATTCTGCTGTGGGTGGGGGGAAAGTGGGTGGTTCTCCTTGGCTGCTTAGGAAATACTGCTTTTATGTAATAGCTCTTCACACTGCAGCTATGTGTGGAAAATAAACTTTGGGTGTGGGTATAATACCCTTCCATTAAGAGAACCTGGGAATTCAGTGACTGGCACAGCTATTGTGTGTTTGTGTTGAGTAAATGGAGGCCAAACCTGAGAAGGAGTTTCTGATGGTGCACTAATGGAGCACTGAAAAATCAGTGGCCATGGCCCTAAAGCCAGGGTTCCTCACCAGAAACTGGAACCTCCTTATATGGTTTGGGAAGTATTCAAAAGATTTTTAAGGCTAGAAATTTTGATAGAGATGGCAGTTGGTCTTCAGGCACTAAGTGTACTTCACCTTCAGGGTCTTGTGGATTTTCCTCTTTGCTTCCTTGCCCCAGCAGACTGTCTTCTTTCTTTGCCATTTTCACTTACATTTTCAGCACCATGGACTTTTTTCTGGTTTCCCTGTAAGATCCTTTTCTGTTGGGCTGCCCATCTGGGCATAATGTTGAGGAAGAAGAGTGTGTGCTGCTGCTTGGTGCAAACCTTAAGGCTTGGTAGCCTAAAATCTGAAGCTCAGCAATATCCCTTGATGTACCAGGCACACTTAGAAACTGAAGAACCACCTCTGATGCTACTGCTAAAAGCTTTATTTTGAGGAGGGCAGAGCAGCTCTGTGGACTGATGAGCCCCAAGCTGTGCTCTCACTTCAGCCCCTTGTCTCACTCTCCAACCCAGGTGACTTGTGAGGCTGTCTCAGGAGGTGGTGGGCCCCTTGTGAGCAGTCTGCTGTGGAGGAGATCCTGGTGAGCCAGGGCTTGAGGGGCCCTGAGCATCTCCAGAACAGGGCAGATGGTGACACTTGGCAGTGGCTGCAGTTCTGTGACTTGGGGTCTCGGATGGAGCCATTGTCCTCCAGTGTGGTTTGTGTCCTTAGGAGCTCTTGCCACTACTGAACTGTAATGCTGCTTTAATGTGTTCTAAATTGGGAATTGAGGTTTCTCTCTGCATGGTCCTTTATAGGAAAATGTAATTTCTAGAAAACTGAACAGAAATCCCTCTGGCCCAGCAGGAGCTGAGGAAGGTTCTAAGCAGAGTCCTGCACTCCAGTGTTGTTACTGTTTCCTTAGATCTTGCCATATTTTGTGGATTATTAACATCACTTGAAGAAAACAGTGTTCTGTGGAACAAAACCAGCTGCCTGAATATTGTGACAGAAAATGCAGGGTGTGAAGAGTCTTGATTTTCAGAAAACTGCTGGTGGGATTAACTGGAGGAAGTTAAGCAGGTCATGACTCTCCTGAAGCAGCATTGCTTTTGCAGCAAATCATGGTTCAGTGCCAGACCAAAAATGACCTTAGTGCCCTGCTTTACTGGGCTGTTCTCTATGTGCTGCTGGGTCTAGCATATTTATTTTTGCCTTTCATCTTTTAAAATCGTTTCTGCTTTTATTTGCTTTTAATTAGCAAAAAAAAAAAAAATTCTTAGCTTTTTCAGTACTTGATTTTGTCTAGGCAAATAGCAAAATTAAAGATTGTCTTTACTGGAAATTCAAAATCTAATTGAAATGCTTTAATATAATTGTGCACCTTGCTAATGTAATTGTTGTGAATTGCAAATAGTCTGTAATGGCATAAATTCGAAAACCTTGTGGACTCTTCAAAATGAAATATATTTACCTAAATATTACTGGTTTTACATGAAAGAAATGCCAACAGGGGAAAATACCTGACCTGGGAAAAGCACTGCTGTTGGCAGAGATCCAGAGGACTCGCCTTGATTTGTGTGGTTCCTAGTGATCACTGGCTGTGCTGCTTCTCAAGTGTAGGGCTGTGGGGTGTTTCTTCCATTAAATGCTTGGTGCAGCTCAGTAAAATGCCATAGCTGTGCACTTTTCCCTCAGGTAGGGTGCAGTGTGGAACTCGGGGGTTGTCTGTCTTCCCACCATCACCCCTTAGTGAAGGAAGGTGGCTTCCTTGGCTTAGGAGAAGGGTATCCTTCTTTACATTTGCTTAGTTCTTTGGGAATTGGAGAGCTGGGATGGTCTTGTGAAGCGTGGCACATGTGTTTGCTGCTGCTAGAGACACTGTAGCTGCTCAGCAGGGTGGAAGTTTGGAGGAGGAAACCAGAGGAGCTGCTGTGGTGTGTCTTAGCCTAAGATGGCTTGCTGGCTTGGAGCATGGCAGTCCCTCAGTTGCCTCACTGAGGATCCCGTTGCAAATGGAGGCACCTGAGCATTATCTCTCCTGCTTTACCTGGCTTCTCTCTAATCCTGTGGTTCTCTGGGGGTGTAGCTGTTGGCTGTGCATCTCTTTGGGTTACTGGGAACTGACTACTTGTGTGCTTTCTTCCCTCTTCAACCTAGCCTTTATTTCTGCTGAGGTTATTTGTTTGTTTTTCAGATGAGACCCTTTTTGCTCTTCCTGCTACATCTGCGCCTCTGATGCACTCCTCTGCAGGCAAGTTCTTTCTGCTCACCTTTGTCTGAATACATCCTGCATTTCTGATCTCATTAACCCTTTCCAATTACTCTGCCTTTACTAAAAGTCAGCATGGGTCCAAGAATAGCCTCCATCAAGCTTTTTGGTTTGGACTTGTCACTTGAGCTGTTCAATAGTTAATATGCATTTGTTTCTGTACGTGTTGAGCTGTTATCTGAACAAGCTACAGCCATCTGTGAATTCTTGGACCCTTGATGTAGGAGAGACATTGATACTATTAACAGGTTAACTCACCAAAGCATAGTTGCTTTGCTGATTTAGCAGAAAGACTTAATCAATAGTAACTTTCTGCAGTCTTTAATATAAAAGAATTGTATGGTAAAATTTGTACCTGTAGTATTTTAGTGGCTTTTGTTAGCTACACTGTCCACCAAATTACCATTAAAATGCCAAAACAAGATGTCTTGCTGGCATGCATGTCTGTGCATAGGTTTGTGCACAAGCATACACGTATCCTCTGTGTCTCACCTTGCCACCCCACCCTCCCTCTCTGTTAATATTGCCTGCTGTACTTGGATGCTCTGTACTTGTCTGGCATCTTCAGCTTCACTGTGATCTTTGCTCTGCAAAAAGTTTACTGCTTTTCTAGCCCTTTGCCAGAAGAGGTGAAATATAAGAGCATACTGTAACTGATGCTTTGTTTTAATGGCCAGTAGTATTTCTGATAGAACCTGGAAGAACCTTTTCATAACTAACATCGTGTGAATCTGTCATGAAAGTTAGCATTGACTTTAAGAGCACTTGCATTCTCTAACTTTCCTTTCTGTCCACGGTCACAGAAAAAGTTCTGGACTTGCAGGAGCAGCCAGGTAGCACTAAGTCGCTTGGTCAAGAGGATTTTCCTGCAGTCCAGCTTGATACTGCTCCTTCTCTTCCCTCCTTCTCTCCTGTCTCAGCTGATCCCTTTAAAGAGCACGCAGCCTTTGATACACTCTCAGATGGATTACCTGCAAGGGGCATTTGCAAAGAAAATGCAAGTGAGGTTTATAAGGAAACTATGGAACGTGCAAGAAATCCATTTCTTGCAGAGGGAAATGAAAGAGACACTTCAGAAATCAAATACTCAGAGCCCCCATTTGGTAAAGCAGAGGCAGCCATTTTATCTCAAGCTAAAGAAGCAGCACAGCTAGGGGGCCCTAAGGAATTACCTAATCTGGAGAAAATGCCTGCAGAGCCACTGAAAATCTCTCCAGAAAGCCCTCAAGATTGGTTTGAGAAAAAGGAGGAAACTCTCTTTTATAAGCAAGACGGGTATGGAAGTGGTGATCATGATGAGCAAGGGGCACTGAAAGAAGACCCCCTCAGGAGGGAGGAGTATGCAGACTTCAAACCCTTTGAGCCAGTATGGGAAGTTAAAGGTGCAAGTCATGGACTGAGCAGTGGGAGAGAGGATGTTGGAAGTAAGATAGGTGCCAAGCTAGAAGGCAGCTCAGATGAGAAGTACGGTGTGGGTAAGCTGGATGTGCAGAAGGATTATGAAGGAGAGAGCGAAGGCAGCACTGAGGATCTCTCCTGCCCAAGTACCCCGGAGGCTGTAAAAGAACCCTCACAGACTTACATCACTTGTGCTAAATTTGAATCCTCTGTGAGTCCTGATGGTGACAAAGTCAAATCTCTTTCTCCGCTAGAGGAAGGCACTTCAGAAAATAGAACCGATGACGAGAAAAAAATAGCAGAAATGAAAGCTCAGATGAGCACAGAACAAGGTGATTTTAGCACTGGAGCAGTTGGCAAGAAGGAAGGCCAGGAAGCTGACTCTGCAAAAGCAGGGAGTGTATCAACAGTGCCATCTGACACTGCAGCAAACATGCCCGAAGGTCTCACTCCTGATCTAGTGCAAGAAGCGTACGGCAGTGAACTGCATGATGCAGCATGTACAAAACTGGCTTATGAAACAAAGATTGATTTGGTTCAAACCTCTGAGTCAGGGCAAGAGACTCTGAAACCCGTGACACAAATCTGCCCCTCGTTTGAAGGGCCAGAAGCTGCTCCATCACCAGTCCTGCCAGATATTGTTATGGAAGCCCCTCTGAGCACTGGGACTGCTGGTGCAGAAGCATCTGCTGTGCAGCTCCAAGCTTCCCCCTTAGAAACATTTATTCCTACAGCCAATTATGAGAACGTAGAAGAAGAGGCTGAAAAACCTCCCTCGTACCAAGAGGCAGCAAATGTACCACTGACACAGGCTGGAGACACCAAAGAGGTGTTAGCATTTACAGCAGCTGAGCAGGAGCCTGGCTCCAGTCCTGAAGACACAGAGACTCCATATATATCTATTGCATGTGACCTAATTAAGGAAACAAAGGTCTCTGGTGAATCTGCTTCTCCATCCTTCACAGATTATTCCAAGGCACTGATAACAGAATGCATTTCTCAGGATGTGCCCAAACAGGAGGAACTTCCTGAAAAACTCTCCCCACAGTTTGGAAAATCTGACTTCTTTAGTAGCCAGGTGGTGCCTGACTTTACTGGGAAAGTGAGTGAAGATCCATCTCTCACCTTAAAGAGTAAATCAACTGAGAGTGTTGTAACTGATGATGAAGATGAGGTACAACTGGTGGATTCAGTAGCTTCCACAGGCAAGCCTTATCTGGAGTCTTTCCAACCTGAACTGGACTCTTCCAAAATTGGTGCTGCTCTGCCACCTGAGCCAATGCCTACAAAAACAGTGAAGGCAGAGAAGATTCCTCTTCATATGGAAGAACTGAATGCTGTGGCTTATTCAGCTGATCTATCTGTTGCTACAGAACCAAAACCAGGAGACAACAAAGGTCTCTCGCCCATGGAGTCTTCCCCAGTTGCAGTGGAAGAAGACTTTGTGATGTTAGGTCATCCTAAAACTCCTGAGTTTGTGGCAGAAGCTACTGATGGAGAAATCCTGTACAAAGATGAAAGTGAAGGGACCAGTAAGGTGATCAAAGGTGAGAAGAGGCAGCTGCCTTGCCCAGAGCTGCCTTGCGACCTGTCTAGAAAGAATGTAGAAGTAAAAGCCAAGGAAGATGCTAATGCCTTGAAAAAGTCCTTGGAGGCTGTGGACAGAGAAGTGCCTGAAGTATCCACCGTGTCCTTACCGGCCACAGATACCTCACCTTTGTCTGCTGAAAAAGAGAGGGTCAGTGTAGTAAAACCTGAAGCTTTTGAGAAGGAAACTGAGCGAGGAGCTGCTTCTGCTAAAGAAAAGGAAAAACCTACTGCTGTATTTTCAGCAAAGCTGAGTAAATCTTCAGGTAATCTGTGTATGCTGTCTTGCAGTTCACTAATCTGCATAATTCTTAAACTAATCTTAAGCATGTCATGCCTTACACTTTTTAAAGTCATTTTCTGTAAACTCTGTGTAGGCCAAGGGTAACAGAAATGTTGGTGTCTGCACTTTCACCTTTTTCATGTTCTAATTGCTGTAGTACTTTTTTTTTCTGTTTATCAGGGATGGACTCACTGTCTCCAGTTTTCTCCTTCAGTTCTCCTGCTGGTGATGTGTTGATAGAGAAATAAGTCCCTACTCACTGCAAGCTCTTCTGTGGTGGCCTACAGTCTGGGCATTGGGTGGCCGTCCAGACTTGCTCCTAATATGTGATAGTAAGCCAAGGGCAGTGTTTCAATGTGGGACTAGAAGAGGCATTTCTTTTCCTACACAGTCCAGACGTCAGACTTTGAAACCTGGGGAAGTATCCTTGCTGCTGCTGCACGTGTGTGGCATCTGGGAAAGAACCTGCACATCTCCACTGCTGACTGGCAGCTTGTGTTACACCCAGGCCAGTGGTTTAAAAGAAACAGCACATGTGAGAGAGCTTAGTACTCATCTTACTGGGAAAGTGGCCATTCAGAAGTTGACTATCAAATATTAACATTGCCCTATACAAGGCTACTAATTTCCATTTTTCTTTCCAGGTGGGGTTTGCACTTCAGTGTAGCTAATTTTTCTTCAGGTAATGTGTAGTTAAAGTAGCAGAAAGCTCTAAGGGAAGGGTAAGACCATTGTGTTGCATTCTATTCTTTAAACTGAATGCCTCGTGGAGTTCCAGCTCTTTCAGACTAGAGGAATTTGCTTTTTGATGTTGCAGCACTCTGCTGCTACTTCAGTCTTGCACCAGAAGCATTCCTTTAAAAAAAAAAAAGCTACTGCAGAAAGCACAATGACTCTGTTGTAAACAGAACACCAATTATTGGTTTGACTCAACAGTAGTATATTTGTACAGCAGCTGTATGAGCTGTAGTACATGAAATACTGCATTCCTGATATAGGTCTTCTACCAAACGTGTTTTGGAAGGGATAAACAAGTGTGTGTTGAGTGGAATGTCAGGCTATTGGTGCAATTGTAATAGGAGCTGGAAAATAAGATGAAAGATGTAGTTTCTGTTAAATTTTGAGTGATGCGAGTCAGGAGGAATGACAACTCTCTTCCATACATACAGGTAGGCAGAAAGAGTTTCTTTTTTCCCTTCATGAAATTTGGGCAATACCTGCACTGTTAGAACACTGTGTGTGTGTTCTGGGAAGTTTTCTCTCCTTGCACTGAGACTTCCAGCCTCAAGTACTGTCCAGAGGACAGCTGCTGTGTGTCTTGTGTTTCATGTCAAGGGGTTAATTGTTTAGAGGCCAGACAACTTAAAAAAAAAAAAAATTACACTTGGTATACTAGCTTTTTTTGTTAGTTTTTTTAAACAGGAAGCCTTTGCAGATGTCTTTAAGCATGGTGTGGAAGCAGCAGACTGGGAGGGGCAAATCACTGCCTTGGGAAGAAGGACACAGCTGCTGCTCTTCTGTCTGTGGGAAGCTGCTGGAGAAGCTGCAGGGCAACCCATGTGCCACAGCAGGGGAGGAGAGAGCTGAGCGGTGTCCCCGTTCTCCCAGCTAGGGGCACTGTGCTGGGACAGCACCAGTGTGAGCTGGGGAGCTGCCTGCAGCCTTCCTCAGTGTCACACTCGCTCCATAGAGCAGTTGCTGCTTTACTCGTTCATGCTGTATTGTTAAGGAAGAGGAATATTTTTTTCCTTTACTCTGAAAGAACACCAACTCAAAAACACAGTCTGTTTTTTCTATTATTTTTTTCCCCACAATGTGCTGTTTATAGATGAGCAGTATAGCATACAGATCTGAACTTGTGAGACCTGCCCAAAGAGTCTAATCACAAGCCACAAATAAAATCAGTTGTCTGCTTTTAATACCACACTATGTAAGCACAACTTCAAAGAAGCATCAAAGAAGTAATACATGCACATCTTCCATATTCACAACAGGAGGAATAATTTATCACAAGGCCAAGAAGTGGATGTGTGCTTGTGATATGCCTTTTGAGCCTGCCTTTATTGTGTGGGGTTTGGTGTTTCTTGTTTTGTTTTCCCATCGGTGGAGCTGAGAAAGATTTTACTGTGCCTCAAGACTTGTGGAGGTCAGTTGGCATGACTGTAGGACCGATGCTTGTGAAAGCATTAATCTGAGCTGCCTTACTGGTGGCCTGTGAGGCCATCTAGTGTTGTACCTGAGCTGTCGCTGCAGCACGTTGGGCTGGCTTTCCAAGGATTGCAAACTGGCTGTTGAGAAACTGAACTCTTGGAATTAGCTTTCAACTCTAGGAATATTAAACTAAAAATATATATATATATTGCACATCTTGGCCCTTCTGCATTATAAACATTTTTCACTGATAACCCCTTATTTACTTTTGGATAGACAT